TTCCCCACTCCACCCCCACAGAATGTCTCTGGTCTATGGTTGTTCATTATTTTTGTTATTTTCTCCTTTGCAATGACTTTTAACAAAGGATTTAAGTTTAAATTCATGCTCATGGGAAGCTCACTTGAAAGGCAAATTTATTTAAGCATTTTTAAAAAAGCTTTCCCACAGTGTCTTCTACTCCTTCCAATGAAATCCATGCATCTTTCTTGACTATGACTTCCAAAGCACAATGTATTGTTTTTCACTGGATATTGAAAAGATTTTTCCTTCTTTTAAATAGATACTTGGAAAACAGATTTCCCTACATGCCCACAATATTTCTGTCAAACCTACAGGGGTGGATGCAGAATTCCTGACTCAGTTTTTTGGAACTCCAGAGTACTCCTGAACAGGACTTATTTTATGAAAATAGCTGCAGCAGTGTTTGGAGGTGCTGTGAGCAAAGAGATGATGCAGTGGGTAGTGGAAGAGGTAGTTGTATTTATCAGCTATAATCACATGATAATTTGAAGAAATAATGATGAAATTATTTTGTATCTTGATATAAACATATTTCCATGTATATTAACTGTTTTTTATTCTGTTTCCCATTGCCTCTGTGTATCTAATTAGCGGAAGATGGTTAGTTGTCATGGTAATCACAGAATCAGGGCAGTGTTAAGCTACATGATGGTAGTGGGAGAACGTGACTCAGCAAAAACAACTTTGCCCAACAATGAATAAATGTACTTCATCCTCTCTGGGGAAGGGTTAGCTGTTTTTCTCCAGCACAGTGGTAACTTTGTATTGTCAGTCTAGCTTTCTGGAAATTATTAGTAGAATTAGTTTCTTGTATTATATTGGGTTAAAGTTCATCCCAAAGATGTCTGTGAAAGAGCTGAGGGCAGCTGTGACACAGCAGCCATGTTTTGTCTTCTGTAGGCCACAGCCAGCTCCAGGCAGGTGGCCACTCACAGCTGCTGCCCCTGTTCTGCCCCTCAGCTTAGTGCTGACCACAGCTCCACCCCCACCAGGTTTCCTCTCTCAGCTTCTCTGTCTGGGCCAGGTTTGCAAGTAACATAATGCAAAAAGATACCCACTACATGAGATTGAGCTGGCCAAAGAGAGGAATTCTGTCTTACGGGGTTCAAATTGCCCTCATGGGTTCTAGTATTTACTTATAGGTCAGTGTGTATATTTATTTAGGCACATGCAAGTTTCCACCCAAATACTACCCTAAACCATTTTATAACCAATACAGGCTGAATAGCCAATTCAAACACAACCATTGTGCATAACTTTGTCCACCAGTTCCAGCAATTGCATGAGGCCTAGCCTTGTGATTAATCTTTTATTTTACATCACTCATGGTGGTTCTCTGATTATACCTTAGAGGACACAAAGCCTAAAAGGAAAATATTTAAGGAAATGTTCATCCTTAATATTATAGATGAATAGACCCAGCTTTTGATGTGAGCATCTTTAAGTAAAGCTGGTCTTGAAATTTTATGGGGAAGTTCATTTACTATTAGACAGTATGCATGTATTCTGTATGATTGAATTTAAGTGAAAACTTCATTACTTAGAATGTATTAGAAGAGAGTTACTAAGGACATCCGCTTCTAAAGGGCATAGGAGGTTTTACTCAGGATCCAAATCTTTGAAAAGACCACTTATGAAGCAACCACAGTCAATGTCATTGCCTGTGCCTGTCTGGGAAGTGCAGATGTGATTTCAGTTTGACTCCTGAGCTGGGCTCTTGATTTTTTTTTTTAGGTCTGGGCTTTTGTTCAGATTGTACTGTCACCTCAAGCACTGTGCGTTCCTGAAGACCACAGAAATACTTTGCCGAATCATCCAGTTGTAAGCGTTTAATGATGAATGAGATAGATTTGTCTGCTTTCTTCAAATGTATAAAATAGCGACCACTTTGTGCATTTTTGGCAGAAGAAGGCTGGTGAATAAGGTAAGTGAGCTTTCCATCAGGAAGCTCCTTGTACCAGTAAAGATAGTAAGTACCCAAACTTGTTTCATACCGACAGTTGAGCGTGACTGTTGACCCCTCTTGCTTGGTTATAACTGGCTGGTCTTGGGTAACTTTTTGGGCCACACTGGAGCCTGTGGGGAAAATGAGAAAACAGAGCTTATGAAATGAATAAAATATTATAAGAATTAGGCTAATTTTATACACACATTGAAATCATCACATGCCTGCTCTCCCCAGTCCTCCTTCCCTCCTCATCATATCAAGCACCCTGTGCCCGGTGCTTCCCTCCCACCCTCCCCACCCCCACCTGGCCCCGGACTACCAGAGCAGGTGAAGGCCACCAGTGCCCACAGCAGGCGGGAGGGCGCCATGGGGCGTGTGTGCCTGACACGGTGGCAGTTATGCCTCCAGCAGGAAGCCCAGTGTCTCTGAGAGCCTGGAGGAGTGTTTATGTAGCTCCTGGGGGTGATGCTGCTCCCCACACAGGAAATATGTTGCACTTCCCACCTGGTTATGCAAAGATGAAAAAAGAGTTTGACTTACCCCAAAGTTTGACTGTTTACTTCTCTATGCCTGGTAATTAAGGGAGTCAGTATGTGAAAAAGCAATTAGTATTATAGGTTTGAGCTGGAGGATTAAATCATTGGAATAATATTAATGCCTTTTTGAAAACAGAAGTTTTGCCCTTCGTGTGTCTATTTAATGGTCATTCATTTACCTTGCACTCATTTCTCTCCATACAGAATCTAATGATGTTTTTTAGAAAATTCACAAATCACTTACTTTCTGAGTGAAGAGTATCCTATTCACAGCAACTACCTTGTGTCTTTCTTTTTCTTACTGGGTTTTAGGGCTCTGTTTAAGTTGTATAATGAATGAAGCTGCTTCAAAAGCGATGATTAAAGATCAGTTCTTCTGATTTTCAAAACTATTTGTTTGACAACCATAAAGATACAATCAAGTTAATGTTTGGTATTAATCTTCAAACTCTCCTTGGTTCCTTCATGTACCATATGAAGTCAGAGAAGCACATCTTGATAATAGCTATTCTCTTATGCTGATCATGCATTTGAACATGGGCTTTATTCTATTAGCATTGCATATTTCAGAAGACCACTGCAGCTACATAAATCTATAGATATGTATGTGTGAGTCTATATGTGTGTCTGTACATGTATATGTGTGTGTGTATATATATACATATATACTTGCAAATTTCTTTCACTTATATAATTATGAAATAGTCAGTCACCATGCTGACTGCTATTATATTCTAGGACTTTGAACTGGAATTTTGTACCCTTCAGCCATTTTGCTTATATATTGTGAAATGTTATTGGAATTTTGAAGGGATTACCTCATGGAGAACAGAACCAATCTAAAAGATCCAGAGAGAAATAAGTGAGAACAGACATCATGCTGTGTAATTTCTCTATTTAGGCCTCTACCAAAGCCTGCAGTGTATCAATAGTGGAGGAAGGAGAGGGGAGGGGAGAGTTGAGAACCATAATCTAAAACTTCTGTGGAATCTAACATCAACATTGGGCTCATTTTATTGTCATAAGTATCATGGTCTGTCATGTTTCTTACTGTTTATTAAGAGGGAATAGGTTCATCGATTACACTTCATAGGAAGATGGGTGGCTTATGATAACATGTAAGGAACACTAGGCAGTGTTTCCTACAACGGTTTATTTTTCTCCATCTTAACTCTTGTTCCCACCTATCCGGGTGTTTTGATATTACACTAAAGGACAAAACAGTAAACAATCACACTTAACACAGAAAAGCCTCGTACCTTACACAACAAATGTCTTTTTTCTAGGATAGCCTTATTACTCTTCAGCACAAACTAGCCTATGTCTTATAGTTGTCATTTGGAAGTAGATCACTTTCACAACTGTGAGGAAAAAATTTAAAACCAGATTAAAAGTCTGCAGTAGTTAGCTCACTAACTGATCAGCAATAGCAGCTCCTGTAGAGACCAGACTTGGCCACAATCTAACCAGGGAACCTTGGAGCGCGGCAGGAAGCCAGTCAGGCTCACAAAACATTCTCACACAGTAAGGGACAGCACTCCAGCAAAGAGCTGCTTTCCTTCTGATGCTTGGGTGGACTGGAGCCTGGTTCTCAGGGAGGAGGTAGTTAGCTCAAGACTGCCCCAAGTGGTGACATTTGAACACAGACATGAAGCAAGTTGGGAGGTATTTGTGGGAATGACGTTACAGACATAGGGCCAAGGCATGGGGTAAAGTTCTGATATGGAAAAATGTTTATCAAGAATAATATCTTCTTACTTCATGTCCCTTATTCTTCCCAGCACAAAATGGTGAAGAGAGCGGTTCATTCAGCATAATTAATGACTGGTGGGTGATTTCCTCATCTATTGATCCTGTGGCAGTTTGTACCTACATAGGCATATTCTTTTCTAGCTTGAGCTTTAAGGGGGCCGGGGGGTGGGGGTGGAGGAGAGGGATGTGTGTGTTCCAATTGAAATCAGAAATGTCACCATCACTGAGAACTCCAGTCACCCTGTCCTGAAGTCAGTTGGTTGTCATCTTAACAACAAGTATTCCCCCCACCCCGCCCATGTTTATTAGCTGTAGGATGTCATAATTCTGACAAGGTTTTTAAAGTTTTTTTTGCCAAATTCATTGTTTCTTTTTCTTATAGATTTATGTAAACATTTTATAAATTTTAAAATTTGAATTTACTTTTATAGAGTGTGCACTGACTTTTCACATTCTTAGGGCGTTTTAGCAAAGAATCTAACATGATGCTTTCTTGTTCATGAGAAGATAGCTTGAAAGTTTTGTTTGCTTCAAATAAGCAATTTTAAATTGTTTTCATCTGTTACTTGTGATTTTTTTATGATTATGATTCCCAGAGAAGTTTATTTTTTCTGAAATTTTAAAATAATCCCCTACCATCTCCCTGCTGATAAATAGACACTTTGAATATGGATTTCCCTTTGTTTCTGCAATTTTTCTGCCAGAGTCACCTCTACTAGAGGTGAGCATGTAAAATTCCTTACTCAACTTTATGGTATCCCATGTAGCATTGTGCCTGAATAAGAGCTTGTTTTATATAAAACTCAAGTAGAGCAGAAAAATGGAGGTTCTGGCTATGGGCAAAGAGCCTATGCAATAGGGAATGGAAGAGCTAGTTATAAATGCCAGCTATAATCACATAATTTATTGGAGAATAGTTTTGAAATGATTTTTCACTTTGATATATATATATATTCGCTATAATAACTATTTTTTATTCCTATTACACATTTGCTTATATGCAACTGCATAAGAGGTGCTAATTAAAGTTAGTCATATTAGTTTACCATGTTCATTCATTATAAAGTGAACAGAGTGGTTAAATCACAAAGTAGCAATGGAGACTAGCTTACCAACACGAGTTTAAGAACTTTGTCCAACGATCTTGGCTCCAAATGAACTTGAAACTCTGGTAGGGTGTGATGTTTTGTTTTGGGGTCATTGCTGTGGTACTGATTTGTCTCAATTCAACTTTCTGAAAATATGTTCCCCAGAACTTGATTCCTGTGTTACATTGGGTTAATTAGGGATGGTCACGAAGTGATTTGTGTAAAATCTAAAAGGCAGCTTTTTTTTTTAAGATTTATTTATTTATTTATGCATACAGATCTGGGGTACAGGCCAGAGGTGCAGGGGCAGTGAGAGGATTCACCAGAAACAGAGAGGGGAGCAGAACAGGCAGATTGACAAAGTACACTGCTGAGGAGAGCAGCGGGTGACACAGGAGAGGTCGGCTGTGCCATGTGGGTCACCTCCGTGGCAGGGATCCAACTGGCACTGAAGCGGGCGTGGCTTGGCTTGGCTTAGCAGTGCGGCCTCCAACCCGCTGGGTCACCAGGGAGGGACTAGAAGGCAGTTTTAATGCAGCAGCCATGTTTGTTTTCTGCAGGCCGGAGCCAGCTCCAGGCAGGTGGCGACTCACACGTGCTGCCCCCGCTCTGCCCCTCAGCTTAGTGCTGACCACAGCCCCGCCTCCCCCACACCTCCCAGATCTCTCTTTCAGCTCCTCTGTCTTGGGCCAGGTCTGCATGTCACATGACTCAAATGATACCCACTTCCCTTGAAGTCACCATCCCAATGAGATTGAGGACGCGAGAGAGCCAAGTTGTAGTTTGACTGTCTGGGTTCCAATTGTCCTCAAGGGTTCTAGCAAGAGAACAAATGGGTCAGTTTGTCCATATCCCACCTTCCTTCCCAAATGTTACTGATTTATAGCAAATTCAGGCTGCATAGCCAATGCAGACACAACAGATTTGCATAGATTCTCTGTCCAACAATGGCATGAGCTATAATCCTTGTAATTGATCTCTTATTCTACACCAGTCATACTGGTTCTGCTTCTCTGATTATTTCACACAAAATGTCACAAAGTCTTCATTGATACAAAGCCTAAGTTGAAATGACAATTCTAGGTGACTAGATCCAACTTGTGGTGAGCGCATCATTAAGTGTAGCTACCAAGTGAAGTGATTAAAGGTCAAGTTGTTTCAATGTAAGGCCACTGTGCACATGTCCTGCATAACTGATTTCAAGTGAAAAATTCATGACTGAGAATTTACTAGAAGAAAGTTACCCTGGACTAAAAGTTACACCTGTTTCCATAAGACATAGACAGAGGTTTTACTTAGAATTCAATCCCCTGATCCAGACCAAAGAAGAAGCAACCACACTCTCGGTCATCGCCTGTCTGGGACACACAGGTGTGATATCAGCTTGGCTCCTGAGCAGGGCTCTTGCCCTTACTAAGCTCTGGGGTTTTTGTTCAGCTTTTACTATCACATCAAACACAGTGAGTTCCTCGAGAGCACAGAAGTACATCGCTGCATCGTCCAGTTGTAAGAACTTAATGGTGAGGGAGATGAATTTGAGTTCTTTCTGGAAATGTATAGAATAGCGACCCTGAGCTGCATTAATATCAGAATAAGAAGACTGATGAATAATGTAAGTCATCTCCCCATCAGGAAGCTGCTTGTACCAATGCAGGTAGTATCCACTCAGGCTTGTCTCATACCGACACCTCAAGGCGACTGATGACCCCTCTCTGGTGGATACACTTGACTGGTCTTGTGTAACTTCCTGAGCCACACTGGAGCCTGTGGGGAAAGTCAGAAAATACAGCTGCTGCAGCAGATAAAATATTTTAAGAATTAGGCTAATTTTATGCTCAAATGTAAAGCACACTGAAATCATCATCTGCCTGCTCTCCCCAGCCCTCCTTCCCGCCTCACTATATCAAGCACCCTGTGCCTGGTGCTGTCCTCTCACCCTCCCCACCCCCGCCTGGCCCCAGACCTACCAGAGCAGGTGAAGGCCACCAGTGCCCACAGCAGGCTGGAGGGCGCCATGGGGCGTGTGTGCCTGACACGGTGGCAGTTGTGCCTCCAGTGGGGAGCCCAGTGTCTCTGAGAGCCTGGAGGGGCGCTTATGTAGCTCCTGGGGGTGATGCTGCTCCCCACACAGGAAATGGGGTTTCTCACATTGCATTGTCCAACTGGTTAGGCAAAGATGAGAAGAGTCTGGCTTACTCAAACCTTTTATTGTCTAGTTGTCATTCCTTGGTAATTCAGTGAAGCAGTGGGTAAAAAAATGAGCTGTGGGAAAATGGAGACTGAATCAGTTAACATACATTGAAAGTTTTGTGTGCAATACTTTTGTGAACTCATTGAAAATACACTTTAGGGCCCTCCCAGGTGGTACAACGGGTTAAGATGCAGCACTGCAAGCTAGCCACAGCTGCTTCAGTGCAAGTTTGATCCCGGCCCCACAGGTGACCACATGGCGCGGCAGACCTCTCCTGACCCACCTACTGCTCCCCTCAGCAGTGTACTTTGTCAGTGGGCCTGTTCTGCTCCCCACTCTGTCTCTGGTGAAGCCTCTCACTGCCCCTGCACCTCTGGCCCCTGTACCCCAATTTTGTACGAATAAATAGATCTTTATTTAAAAAAGAAAAAGAAAATACACTGTATCATGGATTTCCCCCTTCTTTCACATATTTTATGGTCATTCATTTACCTTGCATTCATTGCTGTCCTTCCTGAATCCCTTGAAATTTTTTGAGGCTTCACAGACTGGTGGCTTGCTCAGTGAAGACTCATCTATGCAAAACAAGCAGTGCGCCTCTTTCTTTTTCCTACTGGGTTACAGGGTTCTGTTGAAATTTTCATTAAACAAAGCTGCTTCAAATGGAAATCAAATGATAAAAGATCAGTCTTTTGATTGTCAAAAGCCATTAAGTTTTTGTGTATTTATGAAAATAACAGGAAAAAACGGGTCATGTTTTGAATCTGACAGTTCTATTACTATCCTCTGAGAGGGTCCAGGTCTCAGGGCTCTTGCTGCACAGGTGGGGAGCACCTGGCAGACCACATGTGCCCGAGTGGCTCTGGTGTCACACTTTATCCCACTGCCCACGTGGTCTCCCCCCACGTCAGAGTCCATGGCTGATCATTTCTGTTAATTTATTATATCAGCTCAAGATAAGCTCGCTAAACCTCTACATGGCACAGTGCTGTCTATAATCCACTCCCACGATGTGCTATGTGTATGGGCACAACTTCGTACATGTGAATCCACGATACTGTTATCTAAGTACTGCTATTGTTGCAAAATGCCCTACTATGTAGCTGTCCATTTTCTATTAATTTCATTGCCTCAGTGGGAGAACTAATACAACAGGGAAAAAAGACAGAGTCTCTGAAATATGGAGATTCACTGGCAAAGGTCCCAATACTCAAGGCTGGGCGGTGCAGAGAACAAGTTCTCATCCGCAGAGACATCTACCCTGGCCCAGTTCACCTTGAGTGCAGCACACAGCTGATTCTTAGTTTGCAATTTTGTAACTGAGCTGAGGAGAGTGCCAATGCCCACAGCATTGGGGAGTAGCAGACAGCAGCCTTTCCCCTGTGACCAGCCAGCGTCGTGTTGTCAGGTTCAAGGTCCCGCAGCGCAGACAGTGTCCCCTCTGAGGGGTGTTTTTGTTGCGTTGATTTAAATGAGTTATGTTGAGTTGAATGAATAACCCACTGAGAGATTTCATCTTTATTTTCTGATCAAATAATGGATGATGATAACTGGTAAAACCCAGGGATGTAGCTCAACATTAAAGGAAATATGGAGGAGATTTATTATTTATAATTTCCAAGTTTATGAATTCATCTGTGATAAGATCTAAGGGTTTATTTGAAACAAATTATGAGGTGTGATGGTAAATGTTTGCTCATATTTTGGTGGTTCTTTTGCCTACAAGATGAAATCTACCCCCGGGCCTTGGCTTCCACAATTGTTCAAACAGATTAAATAAAACAGCAGAATTGCTCAAACAGATGAAATAAAAATAATCTTATGATTTCTCCCTCTCTCCAAGTTGTATTCCATCTGAATGGCAATGACAATAAAATCGTATTCTTTGATGATGTAACTCTACCTACTATATTGTAGTCAAAGAAGCACCTCTAGGCCCTCTGAATTCAAACATTCATTATGTTGTTGTCAGGAGTTCATAAATATTATTTAGTCTCTGTCAACAGCTCTTCTTATATTTACCACAAAAGATAAAACATCGCCTGGAGTACTAAGAGGAAAGCCTGAGAGGAAAGGAACAAGAAATTATTTTCATGATAATTCCAGGTGACTAGACAAGCTGGTGATGTGAAAATCTTTAAAGGCAGATACCACTTGAAATTACTGTGGGACAAGATTTTGCAGCATTAGACAATTATACATATCCCCTGTAAGAATGATTTTTAAGTCAAATATTCATGACTGAGAATTTATTAGGAGAAAATTACTTTTTTTTTAAAGATTTATTTTATTTGTGCATACAGGACTGGGGTACAGGCCATAGGTGCAGGGGTGGTAAGAAGATTCACAGAGACAGAGTGGGGAGTAGAACAGGCCCACTGATGAAGTACACTGCTGAGGGGAGCAGCAGGAGGGTCAGGAGAGGTCTGCTGCACCATGTGGTCACCTCCCAGGTGGGGATCAAACTCATGCAGAAGTGGTTTTAGCTTCTTAGTACTGTGCTTTTAACCCGCTGCACCACCAGGGAGGGCCAGGAGAAAATTACTTTAATCACCTATTTTCAAATGACATAGAGGGAAGTCTACTCAGAAGTCATCCCTTGAGTTAAACCACAGATGAAGAGCCAGAGTCCCCACCATCACCAGTCTGGGATCAGCAGGTGTGACTTCAGCTTGGCTCCCAAGTAGCAACTCTTAGTCTTATTCAGTTCTGGGGTTTTTGTCCAGATTTTACCATCACTTCAAACACAGTGCTTTTCCTGAGAGCACAGAAATACTTGGCTGAATCTTCCAATTGCACAGATGAAATTGTAAGAGAGATGGATTTGTCTGCTTTCTGGAGGTTTATAGAAAAGCGACCCTTTTTTGCACGGTTGCCAGAAGATAAACGGTGAGACATAAGGAATGTGATTTTTCCATCGGGAAGCTGCTTGTACCAATAAAAAGAGTAGTCACCCCAACTTGTTTCATACTGGCAATTGAAGGTGACTGCTGACTCCTTTCGCGTGGCTATAGTTGGCAGGTCTTGAATCACTTTCTGGACCAACAGGGTCCTGAGGAGAAAATCAGAAAACAGAGCTGATGCACGAATAGAATTTTGTATAACGATAAACCACACTGAAACCATCACATGCCTGCTTTCTCCAGTCCTCTTTGTCCATGTCAAGCATCATGTGCCTAGATGATGTCCTTTCCTCCTTCCCACCCCTCCCACACCTGGACCCATGGATACCAGAGCATGTGAAGGCCACCAGAGCCCACAGCAGGCTGGAGGGCGAGATGAGACATTTGTTCTCCTGGACACGAGTGTGCAGTTGTGTCTCCAGTTGAGCTCCGTTTCTCTGAGAGCCTGGAAGGGTGTTTATGTAGTTCCTGGGGGTGTTGATGCTGCTCTCCACACAGGAAATAGGGTTTCTTGTGTTGCACTGCTCACCTGCAAAGATGAAAAAAGAGCCTGGTTTACTACTACAAACTTGGACATGTCTGCTTAGAGAAGTCTGACATTAAAGTGAGTCTGGGTGTGAAAAAGCATTAGCATTTCAGGTTTGAGCTGAAGATTAATGAGGATTGAATCAACTGCCACACATTGATGATTTTCAGTAGATTTTTAGGTGGAATAATTGAAAATTATGCTATTGGAAATAGAATGTAATATGCGTTTCACTCCTTCTTGTGTCTATGTGAGGGTCATTCACTTACCTTCTGCCCATCTTTCTCTATCCAGAATCTAAAGAACTTTTTTTTTTTAATTTGAAAGTGCTCTGTAGTGATCGTTGTTGTTGTTGTTCAGTGAAGACTATTCTATTCAAAAATACTACTGTGCATCTTTCTTCTTCCTTACTGGGTCCTAGAGATATGCCTAAGTTTTATAATAAATGAATCTGCTTCAAAATAAAACCAAACGATTAAATATCAGTCCTTCTGACTTTCAAAAGCTATTAGTTGTTTATGTGTTTATGCAATTATAAAAGCAATTACATTATGTCTTGCAATGAGTGTTATTTATTCAACTGTGAAGAAGGTGAGGGTGTTCAGTACGATTCCTCCACAATTAGGTTGGCACGACTAGATCACCTGTCCTGGGATGTCCTGATGTCACCTTTTTTATCCCATTGCTCCAAAGTGTTCCATCACACTTGTGTGTGTTCTTTCTCATTTCCTCATTTGTCTGTTAATGAATACTTAAGATTGTTTCCTGTCGGAGACCAGCTCCAACTATTGAGGTGTCTGGAGGCAAGACAGGCAGGACCCTAAGGTGGGAAGGTGTCGGCGAGTGGAGATTCCTAAAAAGGGGAGAAGGAGAAAAAAGGGAAAGGTGGGCGAGGAAGACAAGGGAGTCGGAGTTGGGTGCAAATCTTCCTGCTCTGCCTTTAGCAGAGGTTTATTTTATACATTAGGAGCAAGCAGTGGGATGACATCAGCACATGAACTGGGCTGAGAAATTACAATCATCCTTTTTTTTTTTTTTTTTAGGGTTGTATTGCCGTTTAGCTGAGATATAACATTCCAAAATCAATCAAGGTTAAAAACAGGTACATAGGTGCACAAAGTTTATGACTAATATTACTATAGTGGAGATCAACTAAGATAGAAGCCCCTTAAACCTTATCTACTACTTAATGGGTTTTTGTTTTCCTACCTGAGTCATCCTGGGAGGCAGAAGAGGAAATTCCTTGCTAATCAAATCTCTGAATAGGAGACATAGGTGAATTTCCTTATCTAAAGACTGCGCAGTAGAATCCCGAAAGACTAGCCAGAAGAATTTTGTGGACTTCTTTAAGGTGTAGCAGGTGGAAAACTTGACTAGTTTAAAAACAGGCAACCTG